GTGACTTGAAATGTTAAAATTGTTATTAATCTCAATATAAAACATGTGACATAACTAAATTATAAATACTTTATACATCAACCCTACCATTTTTAAGTGGTTCTTGCATACTTGGTATAATACGCATCATTATGAAAACAGTGCCTTTCCAACAAATGTTATAGAGCCTTAAATCTTTGTATCAGCTTTTTTTTTTGGTTCCTTTTTTTCGCTAACTTGACCACAGGTTGTACGTCCCAGAATTTACGTCCCAGAATTTACGTCTCAGAATATACGTCCCAGAATTTACGTCCCAGAATCTACGTTTCAGAATTTACGTCTCAGAGTTTATGTCCAAGAATTTACGTTTCAGAGTTTACGTCCCAGAGTTTACGTCCCAGAATTTACGTTCCAGAGTCTACATCCCAGAATTTATGTCCAAGAATTTACGTCCCAGAGTTTACGTCCCAGAATTTACATCCCAGAATTTACATCCCAAAATCTAAGTTCTAGAATTATTTTACAAAAAAGGTCAGTAAAATATTCACGAAATTCTTATTCTTGTAGAAATTCTCATTTGCGGCAGAAATTTACATTCGTGGTTGAAATTCTCAATATATACTTACATCAGGTACTCATTCTAAGACCTTCTTTAGGTCAAAGTTGATTGCTTATACCCGCTTATTTATACTGGTCTGATCAGTTTTTGTATATAGGTTTTTGAAGAGAAAAGTTGAAATACTTTCAATACGCCCTTAAATGTTCTTTATGTTCTTGGGAGAAAATTTTACTTTAATAAAACTATTTATAGGCTTTATTTGCGATACAAACATAAATATATAGATATATACATATGTACGTACGTACGTACGTACGTAACATGTATGTTAACTATGTTACCTTCTGAAAGTATATCATAGTTACATGATAATTGTTATAGTTACACTACACGTAATACGTAATACGTAATACGTAGAAGTTATGTGCGAGACATACCACCGACGTCAAAAGCCCGGATCTCTTGTCACATGATTTATATAGTCTTTTATTAGCTGGCATGTGGGAGATATATAAGTTATATATCTCCAACAGGAGATGCTTATAATTTCCCTTATTATATAGATCAAATTAAATAAACACAATGCAGTATATCTTAATATAAATAAATTTATTATACATGATTCAAGTCTTCCGAAGTTTCAATCACACAATATATATCTACACTAATACTAATTATTTCACTTGCATAATTACCCAACCTAATACTAATATACATAGATTTATTGATACATATTCTTTCTTAAATATTACAACACTCTGACATCAATTCTTATCTTTCAAAGACCATGCTTTTCAGGTTTTCTACATTATGATCCAAATACCAACACTGATGAATTCGATTTTTCTAATCATGATCAATTTTAATCATCAGCACAGTTGCATCTAGTCGAAGTGTCAAAAATCAACATATAATCATTATTTTTAGTTTGGTTAATTGATTGCCGAAAGTGCTGAATATATTCTGGTTTATGTCGATATTCTGCTAGCATTCAGCAAGCAGAATGCAGCTGTGAACCAAAATATATTCAGCACCTTCGGAAATCAATTAGCCAAACTGAAAATTTTTGACACTTCGACTAGTGTTGGCAAGTTTTCAGTATAAACTTTTCCTTACATTTGAATCAATACTACCAAATAAAATTAATGTGGCAAAATAAATTAAATAGTAAATAAATGTTCATGAACTTGAAGAGGAGTATAAAATTTTCCTTTGCTTACCTAATTTAATGTGGTCAAATGAAAAATATATAGTAAATATTCATGAACTTGAATAGCTTATTTAAATATTAGCAAAGAGAAAAACACTTGTCAGAAGTGAAAAAAAAGTAATTTGAGTAATAGTGATGTATGGTGTAAAAAGTGTGTTAAATTAGCATGATGAGTGAAGTCATATTTGTGTATAAAGTATTTATAATTTAGTTATGTCACATGTTTTATATTGAGATTAATAACAATTTTAACATTTCAAGTCAC